TTGGTGGGCACCGCCTCTTTCCATCTCCTGCCAAAGCAGAAAAAGAAATATGGCCAGTCGCCCCAGTCTTGTTACCTCTTGCTTTTTTTTTTTTTTTTTTGCAAAGAGACTGAGTAAAAGGCACTCGAATCACCCTTTGCTCGGGCCTGAAGCAAAATATGAGGGGTCTAGGTTGAAAATTAGCAAACTGGAGGGCAGTGACTTTTGGTTTGATACGCTGACTGTGCTCAGGGCTGCAATAAAAGGAGAAGCTATAAATGGCCTGCGTTACATCCGCGGATGCTTCAAAGCTGATTAGAAGAAGCGCTGCGGTTTTATTACAGCAACTGTGCTTCTTCGGGCTTCCATGCAAACCTGAAAGAAAAAAAAATGCTGCTGCTTTAAGAATCACATCAATGGTTGGGCTCCCTGAAGTAGCCGTATGTTCTTTCCGTATTCATAGAAGAGAAAAAAGGGGGGGGGGAGTTGTGCTGTTTTAATGACTAGCAGAGAAGTGTCTGAGGCCCAGAGCACTTTTTCCACATCGTTTTCAAAACGTGCACAGCCCTAGTCCAAATACATATGTAAATACATAAATATAAATTATCTGAAAGATGAAATCAGGTAACAGTGGGTTCTTCGACTGGGGTGGCCTGAAAGGCAGCAGTTTGGTAAAGGAACATTTTTATGTCATCAAGATCACTGGTGTGAAGAGCAGAGTAATAATAATAATAGTAATAAAGTTTAGGTTTCTGTTCCAAATGCACAAATAGGATCATAAAAATGTTTACTCTGCCTCCAAACCATGAGTGGAATACGGAGTTGTCATGAGGATGCATCACTAGTGTGATTACTCTTCCTGCTTTAGTCAAACTGCACTTGGATCTGTTGAAATTGATTTAAGTAGGAGGTTGATGCGAAAAATCTCAGCAGACCTGCTTTGTTGGCAGATGCTCCCCCCCAACCTTGGACAGAAGGCCTCTGATTTGTCCCCTGCCCACCTTTAGATGTCTTGGACTACAAATCCCATTCCCCATCAGTCATGCTGGTGTGGGAATTGTAGTCATATCGAGAGTGCCCCAGATTGGGGAAGCTTTTCATGCTAGCTGACTTCTGCCGTTGGCGTAATTTGAATAAGAGGCTGAAGCACTGCCATGCGTTCTCAATCGTAAAGCAAGCTGGTTGGCCAATCTCTACAAAGCTATTTTGCAAGATTGTGAATCTGAGTTTTTTTTTTTTTTAATGTTCTTTATCTGCTGAAAAATGCTATGCACTATTAATAAACTGGACATTACTAGGTCTGTCTCATTTATCAAACCACTCTCTGGCTCCCTTTACTGATGGGCTGCATGTTGTTAGGTAACAGATGTCGCAGTCTGCACCAGAAGTACGACTTCTACCTGTAACTTGTCAAGAGTCATTCTGCATTCCTCTTCAAAGACGGGCAGCTTATTTTGCTTCCTGGCTTGTTTATATAGAGGACTCTTTTTGTGCATCATAGGATAAACAGTTTAAAAGGACATCAGGACACAGCTGTCAAATGTTTGCGAATGGACAGTCTCTTCCACCCCTTCCCTGTCTCCCCAGGGGGCTGCTTCCTAGCACTCCAGATAATATATGATGGCACTTATTCTTCATCTAAATATTTCTTGATAATTAAGAATGAATTCTGAACTTTCTAAAAGCATGTTGAATTAAAGAAGCCCATTAAACTCACTATGGACTGCTTTGTGCAAGTCATAGCCATTCATTTGCTTTCGTTTCTGCAGCTGAGCTGTGGAAAGTTCCTTCCTCGCCAACATCTGAATGTCACCAGGCCTGGAGGCTGGCTTCCAAGGCTGGACGGCTGACAGACAGCTGTGCCAGGTGATCTTCTCTGTGCCCCCAAGGGAGTCTGCTGGTCTCAGGTGTCCCAAAAGACCATCTGTGTCTCTCACTGAACTGTCAACCTGTTTGGGCGGGAGGGTGTTTTGTCATTCTCAGAGGCCGTAGGTCCTGGTGTGAAAATTACAAGTGACTGCTGCTGTTACACAGTCATAAATGGAAGCATCTTACCGATACTTATGTTGAACCTGCTTGTATTGAGAGCCCCCAAATCTGTGAGTAGGACCTAGCTGCTCTCTTGGTGGGAAGAGTGCTAGGAGTTCCAACTAGGAGTGTGATATAAACAAAGCCCTGCATCTGTCAATGTACGAATATTGGAGTTTAGATATCTAGTTATGGATGATGCTTTCTGAATTCTGTGGAAACAGACTGCTGAGACTGCTTAAAACGTTCAGTACTGTTTTCTCATAAACAGGTAAAATATGCCAACGAGCAAAAAAGTGGCATTTTTCTCTTCAGTTTATAACATCTCTTTCCTCAAGGCAATGCATAACCAATAATCATGTTTAACACAAATGTAGGAAAGCCATCACCCAAGGCAAGTTAATACAGTCAAGGGGCTGTAGGGAAGGATTCGTTCCACCTTGGTAGAAATGCTAGAATAGGTTGTACCACCATTGACTACAACTGTGAGGATTGTTTGAATCTTCCTGGAATACTAGAGGTATTACTTGTCCTTACAAAAACAGTGCTCCCCATCTGCAATCTGAAGTTTCATGGTTTACCGTTACCATCCCATTCCGTTGCGTGTCTACCAGACACAGCTCAGTCCTGTCCCACCCCATCATGATTTCCCAAAAACAGAAGTGCACACTTTGACAAAAAGGAAGAAGTGTTCTACTTTGTAAGGTTGGCACATCCTTGTAATTGTTTGCTAAGGCCTGTATCTCAAGGGAGCTGCTGTTAAAGTCCAGTTTGATATACAAAAGCTTTACAAAGCAGTTGGAAAACACACAAGATGCTTGGGCTACACACCTAATAAATCCTGGCTGTTGGCAATGCTGGCTGAGACTGCTGGGAGTTGTAGTACAGATTCCATACTTGATCTTAGCCAAAAGCAAAACAGTAAAAGTCAAGTTGTAGGAACACAACTTGGAAGGACATCAGAGGCAAGGGTGATGCTAGAGCTATAAATCAGCCTTGCCTCACATGGCATACTCTGTATGTTGTGGGATTATAATTCCCACTATTCCCTTTGAGCATCCTGGAAGTTGCACTTCAATGCATCTAGGGAAGGCTGTTGTAACCCGTCTCTCCATCCTCTGTGAAAGTTAGCCTACTCTACATATAGGAGGAGCTGCCTTTAGCAGAGAACACTAGTGGCTCATCCAGCCAAACGTTTTCATCTCTGATCAGCTGTGGTCTTGAAGACTGTCATTCTGAGACTCACCTGGAGATACCAGGGATCAAATAACTTTTTAAATGCAAAGCATTTAAATCTAATATCTATTAGTATGTTCATGCAATATGCTAAATCATAAACCATGATTTACAAACCAGAGTAGCTAAATCAAAACCAAACACTATATCATTTATTTGTCTCCACTTTTTGACAGCACTGCATGAACAAGACCATCATTTGATTTGCTAACCATGGTGTATGGTTTAACTCCCTGGTCTACAAGTCATGGCACCCAGAGATAGAAAGCCTACATTGCTGTAGAACCACATGGATGGTTCTAAGTTACCTTTCCCCAGCCTAGGTGCTGGCTAGATGTATGGTTTCAATTCCCTGCATCTTCAGCAATGGCCTTTCCTCAACCAAACATTTTCCAGTTGTTGAATCTACTAACATTTCCAGTTCTCCATATCTGGAGGGCCCCAATTTGGGAACGACTGCCCTATAGATTGCTTTCTTCTTTATATGGAGACCACTAGAAATATATGTGGATGATATATCTGTTTCCTCATCCCTGTGTAAAGCAGTTAACCTCAGAAATTTTGAGTTCCTCCTTTTAGAAGTCATATTCCTATAAGTATGAGAAACCACAAAAAAGCCTATCATTGATAAGTGTCGGAAGCCAAGAATGCATAAATTCTCATATGCACAACTGCAATTCCTGAATGTTCTTCTTTCTAGCATGCAATTCATCATGATGATTTGCATTCCACCTGCAAATTCCTCTATGTTTTGTGGAGCAGTTGGTAAGCGGGCAAAGGTAAAATGGGAAATCAGCAAGACCCACCGTGTGCAACTATGTCCCAATAAGGCCCCTGCATTCAGGTGGCTAGGTTTGAAATAAGTATGCACCCAGTATAAGTGCGTCACTCCACAGAAAAAACCAATGCTAAAGACTTTGAGCTGATGAACAAAAGTCCTATAGTTGTGTCTTGAGATGCCATTAGCCCACAAGAAAATTAATTATATAAGAGGTCTTTTTTAAAAAAGATTTCACCTCTTGTAGTGTTACAGCTGTAATAAAATACCTTGGAGAAATATAACATAATAAATACAGTGTCTAGACTCAAGAGAAGTGTTTCTAATCATTTCAGCTTCTTTCCTAGAAAAGGGATCATCATGAAAGAGTCTGCTCCAGTCTTTCTCAATCTGTTGCTTTCCCATTGTGTTGGATTACAACTCCCATCAAGACCAGCCAGGGGATGCATCAAGACATTGGGAAGAGCATCAGGTTATGGAAGACTGGTAGGCATGATGTCATACAATCGTCTGGACTGGTGTAACACACTGCGCAGGGGAACTGGCCCTCTCGGAGGAGGAAGTGGAGCGGTTGGTGATTTCTCGCTGGAGCTCGTCCACCTTTTTCTGAAGTTCTGCTCGTTTTGCTAGGAGTTCTTTGTAGCGATTGTGGACTGGTTCCTAATGGCAAAACAAAAAACATTGTGCTATGTCTTTGGGAGAGGATGAGGAACAACACAGAGGGCTTTTTTCATAACCTAGCAGTGTTCCAGAATCTATTTCGATACCCAAATTCCCTTCTGGAAAGGCTGTATTGGGCACAAATACAGAGCCACACCCCTGGAGTAACACATATAATTTCAAAGATGGTTGATTTTGGACTAGTCAGAGTCCAATGGGAGGGGAGGGCACATGTATCCTTGACCATGGGGTCATCATAGAATGAACATCTTCTAATGTTGCAAGGCACACAAAGTCCACTGACTGTAACTGCAATGCTAAGAAACATCTGATTTTGACCCCTTTCTCCTCCCAATGAATCAGTTTACCTGCGGTTTCATTCGAGGATTCCACCGGATGTAGTATCCTACCCAAAGCTCTAAGTGACGCATGCTAGCCACAGGATACAAAACATGGTTGGTGTAGCTGGCATACAAAGGGTTGGTGAAGTCTTCAAGCTGACTGTTGATATAGGACCACAGTGATATTGTCTTTTGTGAAAGGCCCTGTAAAGAGCAAGAAGATGGGAAAGATGGAGGAAGAATGCCACATTTCTATGTGTTGCACTTGTGTTGCACTTGTCTGGAATTTGAAACTCCAGAACTCTACAGTAACTCTCTAGAAAAGCCTAATCCATCCAATGTGCCAGAAAGGACAGAAATTGATTAAATCCAGCAAGCAGGTTTTACTGTTTAAATGTATGTTGAAACTCCATCTCTTTGTATAACTATATCTGACAAACTTGAAACTAAGAAACATCAAGATAGAGGCACACCTCCCATCATACTATTCATTTTATTCCCAAGGTTCTGTGTATGAATGCTTGAGCTTAGATAGTCAAAACAGCACTTTTCATGCAAAAGAGGGAATTAGTTACCTTGGGGAGAACCCCAAAATGTTTAGAAATTCAAAGAATCTACCAATAATAATAATAATAACGATGAAGAGACCCAAGCAATGCAATGAGCATGGGATGGTAACTGATTTATGAGGAAAACTGGGGAAAAAATAGAACTGAACAGCTGGGGAACTGTTCATGAGGTGGCCTGAATGGGAGTATCTAGAATGACCAAGAAACAAGGCGTAGTATCTGCAAATTCAAAGGCAGGACTGAGAGCACAGAAAAAGATGTGGTTCAGAATGGCTGGGGCTGCCCAGGGCTGGTAACAGATCTAGTGTCAGGTTCAGCCCAAAGAGCTCCCTGAGACAGTGCAGATACAGTTCTGTTGCATTTATTAGCTTCCACCTCAAGACAGAATCTCTCCAGACTGAACCTAAGTACCCAAGCCAGCA